GAACAGAGTACCTGAACAGGTAGTGAACAGAGTACCTGAACAGGTAGAGTACAGAGTACATGAGCAGGTAGAGTACAGAGTACATGAACAGGTAGAGAACAGAGTACCTGAGCAGGTAGAGAACAGAGTACCTGAACAGGTAGAGTACAGAGTACCTGAACAGGTAGAGTACAAAGTACCTGAACAGGTATAGAACAGAGTACCTGAACAGGTAGTGAACAGAGTACCTGAACAGGTAGTGAACAGAGTACCTGAGCAGGTAGAGAACAGAGTACATGAACAGGTAGAGTACAGAGTACCTGAACAGGTATAGAACAGAGTACCTGAACAGGTAGTGAACAGAGTAGCTGAACAGGTAGTGAACAGAGTACCTGAGCAGGTAGAGAACAGAGTACATGAACAGGTAGAGTACAGAGTACCTGAACAGGTAGAGTACAAAGTACCTGAACAGGTATAGAACAGAGTACCTGAACAGGTAGTGAACAGAGTACCTGAGCAGGTAGTGAACAGAGTACCTGAGCAGGTAGAGTACAGAGTACATGAACAGGTAGAGAACAGAGTACCTGAAAAGGTAGTGAACAGAGTACCTGAACAGGTAGAGTACAGAGTACCTGAATAGGTATAGAACAGAGTACCTGAACAGCTATAGAACAGAGTACCTGAACAGGTAGTGAACAGAGTACCTGAACAGGTAGTGAACAGAGTATGAACAGGTAGTGAACAGAGTATGAACAGGTAGTGAACAGAGTACCTGAACAGGTAGTGAACAGAGTACCTGAACAGGTAGTGAACAGAGTACCTGAACAGGTAGAGAACAGAGTATGAACAGGTAGTGAACAGAGTATGAACAGGTAGTGAACAGAGTACCTGAATAGGTAGTTATACTTCTTTTGTTTGTCTTTTCGTCAAAATATAAAGTACTATATTTTGAGCACATTTGTAATTTATCTTCAGGACGACTTGCAGATTGTTTGTGGACATAAATTCTGCACAATGAAGCTCAAACATCGGAGAGAAGTAACGACAAAAAAAACACTTTGAGTCTTAAACGTTCTTCCCAAACAATATTTAAAACATTTTAAACGATTTAAACGATTTAATTAGTAAAACTGTGACACAAAAGTCAAACTACATTAATTCAACATTACAGTCATATTACATTAAAGAAGACATGCTGTTTATACCATATTAGGATTTTAAAAGCCAATAACTCTATAATTTAACTATTAATACTATAATTTATAACTAATAATGCTGCTTTAATGGTTGAATGGTTGTTTGTTCTAACGTTTTCTCTTGACTGGTGTGTTCGATGCCGGTCCGCTCTTCCTTTTTGCTGGCATCTTCTTCTTCTTCTTCTGTGGTCCTGAAATGTGCAGTTGACCCAGAAACAAATACATTTAGGGATAATTAGCTTCACATGTTTTTCACTCCGTGTTTAGACAATATTTTTCAGCTCATATTTGCATTGAAAGTGTTTGCTTGCTCAGCTGTTCGGACAGAAACTAAAACAGAACATTTCTCAAGTACTGCACTAAGTATAGTTTTGTACAAATATAGTATTTCCATTAAACTTTTATACTAGGGAAATGTTGTCATTTTATTTAACAGCTATAGTTATTTTTCAGATTAAGATTTTACATAAAAAACAAACGATAAGTTTATGAAATAAATGTTACTGTTTAAGATTAAACCAGTGGTTTCCAGTGTTTTGTGGTCCAGGTCCAAAGATGTCAAAATATACAATAATATGAGAACTTCTTCTTCTTCTTGTCATTAATCATCTGACGACCCCTCAGATTTATCTGGTGACCCTCTGGAGGGGCCCGACCCATAGGTTGGGACCCACTGGACTAAACTAGCTGATTGTATATAAAGTAGTAAAAACTACAGGTTTCTGAAGGATCTTTCATACCTGAAGTACATTTTGCTGATAATAGTTCTGTATGTACTTTTCAGGACTTTTACTTGTAACAGAGTATTTTTACATTGTTGTATTAGTACTTTTACTCAAGTAAAAGATCTCAGTACTTCTCTAAACACTGTGCTCCGTAGTTCATCGATTAAACCGAAGCAGAAATTGATCAAAAGAAGCAATTAAAGATTGAAATTACAGGAATCTGAATGAAAAGTATTCAGAATGTGAGATTAAACAACAATGAGACAAATCTCTACCTTTCTTCTGTCCTTCAGTGGGCGTCGTCCTCCTTTGTCTCTGTGCTCTGGGTCTCTGATTGGTCTTCAGCTCCACCTCCACAGGGTAGTGGTCACTGATGCTCAGAGCCTGGACACCAAATACAGTTTGAATAATAGTAATAATAATAATAATAATGATTAAAAACTCTTAATGAGTTCAACACAAACAGGCGTCTCACGTCTTTCTCCGTCAGTTTGAACTCCGTCTGGAAGTTGAAGGACTTGGCCGAGCCGGGCACGATGGCGTTCAGCATGGTCCGTCCAAACACCACGATCCTGTAGACAGGAAGCGCATCGAGTATCAGGTCATCAGAACAACCAGCTGGATCAAACTGCAGCACTGAGGCGTGAGTCACCTGTCGTAGGTGTGGTCGTTCAGGTTACTGGTCGTGGTGTCGACGTCGTCGTCTATCAGCCAATGATAGTCAGCAGAGCAGAGGCGGATCTCCGCCTTCTTCTTCTTGGAGAGATAACGGCCATCTGCATTAAAGTCCCCCAAGATCATGATGTTCTGCAAAAGAAATAACACGACCAAAACTTTACTTTACTTTATTTATACTTCAGAGATGTTACAATGATATATATACTATATATATACATATGTATATATACTGTATATATATATATATATATATCCATCCAGATTCCCAAGTATTTGTAATTGTCAACGGACTGAATAGAGACGCCATCACAAAATCATCCAGGAGAGAAAATCATGGCTATAGTTTTGGTTGAGTTTAAGAACAATTTCAGATCCAACAGGGCGCTAAAATCAATCTGCAGACTAGAAAAGGCCAAAGATGTAACAATGAAGTTGTACTATATATATCTATATATATATATATATATATATATATATATATATATTAGTGCTGGGCAACGATTAAAATATTTAATCGCAATTAATCGCTTGGATTTTTTGTGATTAATCGCGATTAATTGCATTGTTATGGCAAAGTTCAACAATGAATTCAAAAGTAGTGTATTGCGCACCTTTATTTTAAAAGTACTGCTGTATGAACAAAAGGGCAATAACATTTGGTTCACGAGATGCAGCATGTTTTATACTTAATGTGAATATAATTCATACTTTGTTGGCATCTTATTCTGAAAACCGGATGTTCGTCTGAAGAAACCGGATGTTGTCTCACGTTAATCTTTCCGCTAACTTTCAAAGTCCTTTGCTCGCTCCCGATCTGTGCCGTTTAAATGCGTTTACCGTGAATGTCAGCATATAGGTGCACTAACATGTAAGTGTCTGCTGAGTTGACCATGGAGATCTGAGTGTCTGCTGACTTTACCGCAGCGATGTCCAGTAGTCTCCAGGGAGAGCAACAGCTGGTGCAGCTTCTCTTTTTATTTCTGCCCCCCCCCCCCTCGACCAGAAGCGGAAGTCGCCTTTTCTCTACGGCAACCCTGAAGGGACATCATATCTCCAATACAAAACGATAAACATGAGACAGTCTGTTACAATAATAATAAATTAAAAATACTTACCTGTTTTTTTTGTTGTTGTTTTTTAATTATTATTATTATTTTTTTCCCATCTCAAAAGGCTCAAGGACACACACACACACACACACACACACACACATACATACACAACTGACTCTAGGATGTTTTCTGGCTTTTATCCCACTGTTCTTGTCATCCTCTTGTTGTTATGTATATGTATTGTCTCTTGTCTTTCAATTAAAAAAAATAAAAATAAATAAATAAATTATAATAAATTTAAAAAATGCGTTAACGCGCGATAAAATAATTGTCGGCGTTAATTAATGAATGCGTTAACGCGAAATTAACGCGTTAACTTGCCCAGCACTAATATATATATATGCAGTGAAGGCACAGGAGTACATCACTGTGTCATCTGCATACAAATGTTGTGAATGTTACTAGAAAAAGCAAAGAGTCCCAAAACAGATCCCTGTGGAACACCCTAATCAAGAGTGACTGGGTCAGACATCACATTGTCACGTTTAACAAATCTTAGAATGATTCGTACTTTACTCAATACTATATTAAAAGTACAGTGATAGTATCATCCAACTGTACTTTTAGTATGAAACGTTAAAGTACTCATTATGCAGAACGGCTCTTTTCAAAGTGTTACATTATTGTGAAATATTGTATTAATCTGTTTTTATCACTCATGAATATATTTAAAAGCATTTTAATATTGTAGTTTGTCCATTTTTAATACTTTGTATCTGACTGTTTTTTTTATGTAACTTGTAATTATAAGTCTCAGAAGAATGTAGTGGATTAAAAAGTACAATGTTTCCCTCAGGAGAGTAGAAGTAGCATAGAAAGTAAAGTACAAGTATGTCAGTTGTTCAGTACTTGAGTAAATGGATATTGTGGATCATTTTAGGGCATTATAATTATCACTCGAAAATAAATTATAGGCAAATATAACAAAACAGTCTTTTCCCTTTTATCAAACCCAGAGCAGCAATTAAATATCTGTAATCATTAAAATATGAAACAGTCAGAGTTCAAACGTCTGTAGTGAAGAGAGAAAACATCTGTCTCATAGTTACTAAATATCCTGTTCTATAGATTATTAATCAGCCAATATTTCATCAAAATCAATGTTAAGACAATGTTTACTGGAACATTTGGTGACAGCGGGAGCTACAAATCTTTCTGTTGGTTTCCAAAGCTGCTTTAATTTTGATTTGAATATCATTATAATGTTTCAACAGTTGGAATAAGAGCTCCTCTGTTTCAGGAGGTAAACTCAGAGTTATGAAGGTTTATTCATGGTGAACTTTCTCACATTAGTTTTCCACTTCTTCCTGATAGAAAGGACCACATCATGCAGCTCGTCCAGCTCCTTCAGTGTGTCCGTAGGTTTGGTGTGGACCGGGATCAGAACCAGGTCTTTCACCTCTGGAATACACACAGGTACAGTGTACAGACACGTACAAATACACAACAGGCTAAAGGTACACAACACGTATTCGAAACATGTACTTGTAGATGGACTGCTGAAGCGCAGGATGAACGGCTCTCTGGCGAAGGCGTCCACGTCTCCAGGTTGATTGTCTTCATACTGATGACAAGTCCTCAGGGTCACATCAGCCTCTCTGTGTCACACGCGCGCGCGCGCACACGCACACACACACGCACACACACATAAATAGAGGTGTTTGCATGAATGCTACATGAACACATGATCCTGAATGCTACATGAACACAT